GTGCAGACACAGGACGGGAAGGTCCGTCTCGAACCGCTCGCGGAGCAGGAGACGGAAAGCGCAAATCCAAGGGATCAAAACATCATGGACCTCCCCCTTGCTGCGCAAGGGGAAGACCGTGGTTTAACGCGAGTAGTCATCAACAACCAGCAGAAAGTAGCACTTGCGGCCCTGTCTATGGACGTGGGTTGGGCCCCACACGTCCAAGTGGGGAGTCTGCAGGGGAGCAGTCGTCGGGGGAAATGAGGAGGAGTGAAGAGCGGCGCAATGCCGCCCCTCGACACAGGGAAGGCAGGGAGGGGCAGGCGAGGGTGGGAGGGGAGGCAGGGACCTGGGAAGACCAAAGACAAGGAGACGAGAGTGCATGCCACGGAGGCGAGGCACTGAGGGGTGACCAAGGCGGTGGTGTCAAAGGAGCGTCCGGTGCGACAGGGCGCAATACGAGCAGGGGCCCGCTAGCTGACCTGACTTAGACGCAGCTACCTAGGGAGGCTCAGTAGTCAGTGTGTACAGACTCGACCCAGGCCGACGGGTGAACGTGGCCAGGTGACGGCGAGTCCGCGAGCACGCACAGATCGTCACACACTCGCCAGGGGTGAAGGTATCAACCCATTCATCTTGAAGGAGGGCGGTGCTCACCAAGTTTGTAGAGAACGAGGGGAGGTGAAGACCTGACATTGAGCCAGATTGAACCGCCAGACACGGGAGAACAGTGGAGGAACGGGCAAGAACTGGGCCCCCAAAGGGGTCAGCGAGTCTGACAGCAACAGGTGCAGGGAGTGGTGTGACTGTGGTACTGTCGCGAAAGAAACAACGGGAAGCACCTGAGTCAAGCGTGAAGGTGTGCAAGGCCTCTGCACGCGCTGTACCAGAAATAGCAGACTCACCAGTAGCTAGAGTAGACTCACCAGCACCTAGAGCAGCAACCTACATACCAGGGTCGAGCGGTACACACAGGTAACAGTCACCCTGAGTACTAAAAGTCAAAGCATACATGGTAGTGAGGATAGCGTCATTGTGAGGGTACGACGGCTTATGCCAGCTATGCTTGCTTGCCTTTACTTTATCATGCTATTTCTAGCATAGGATAATTATATGCATGCATGAATTGCTTGATTTCCTAGGCTAGGTGCTTTCCTATATTTTATTATAGTTATAGCACCGAGCTAGGTTGCGTGCACCGAATTCTGGCTTTTCGGTTGCCACAGAATTGCCTTCAACCGAATTCGGTAAGGATCTGTTCGGGACGCTTCGCGACCCGCGGAACCTTCGCGTAACACCTGGTTACGGGGCCTTGTGTCGAGCCTATATATAGCCTCGTGTTGTACCCAGGTGATCATTCAATTCAATTACAATTCTTTTTTCTGAGCTCGATCCTAGATCCTCACACTTGGTAATCAGAGCCTGTTTGCAAGCGAAGTTTTTTGACCGCTTAAACCTAGCTTTTAAAACCGCGGGGGCGACGACGGAAAGCGCCGATTTCGGGTACGTAAACCAGTTCCGAATTTTCTAACGTCCCCCTCGAACCGGTTTTCGAACACTCCTCAGGTCCAGTGGCGAAAAAGTTGGAATTTCGACCGTCGGATCGATTCGAATCTCAACGGCCTCGAGAATTTCGCCCAAAAACGTTGGAATTTGGAGCGTCGGATCGAGTTCTTCTCAACGGCCGAGATCAGACGCGAATTTCGACTAAGGGAGAAAAACACGACCTACAGAATCAGCCCTCGTCATTTCTGCAGTCAACTCGACTCACAGTAAGATGACCAGCGCCTAAAATTCATATATTTTCGTCGCAAATCTTCTTATAAATCGCCAAATGGAGGAAAACGGTGATAATTCCGTACGGAAAATTACGGAGTTACACACCGGCCTGGACCAGACGCGAGCGGCACTCCAGCGAATAGAGGAGCTTCTCGCGAATCAGTCGGCAGCTGCCATAGCAGCAGCGAACGCAGCGGCGAATGCAGCAGCGACGTCAGCAGCAGCAGCGGTGACACCGACACTTAACCCAGCAGCAGCGGCAGCGGCTACAGTGAATCTTGAGGCGGCACATCCGAGGCTACCGGAGACGTTCAATCCGAATGCGAGAGACACTGACGTTCGTCAATTCATTGCGACTCTCGAAATTTACTTCGAGGCCGTTGGCTGTACGACCCCAACACACGATGCAATGCGGATTCGGCTCGCAACGACACTGTTACAAGGCCCAGCGCTCGAGTGGATTTACAACAGCAATAAGATCCGAGGCGAGGGGTCATGGACGGAGTTTCGGGAAGCTATAATTCAACGTTTTGAACCAATCAACTCCAGCTACATGTCGCGGCGGCAGATTCATCGGCATAAACAGTTTGTCAAACTTATATGCTATAGTCTTTGTAGGCTGTAGTGGGGTAGACTATATGGGGTAAAACACTTCTAGGTTTTCCTACTTGTACCCACCTCTTTCCTAGTTCATTCATTCCTTATTTCTTCACATGGTATAGAGCATGTTCCCTAGTGGGAACGCTTCCTTGGGCCCACCACTGAAACTTTTTTTCTGACCGGAGCGCCAGTCGCTCCTTCCCGAGGCGCGCCTTGTGCGCCGCACTTTTGTCGAGCTCTCTTACAGGCCCCTCTCACGGCCCCTCGTGCAGCCCCTAGCAGCCCCGTTGCCGCCCTTCCAGGCCCCTCGCGGCCCCTAGCGGCCCCGTCACCGCCCCTACGCGGCCCCGTCGCTGCCCCTAGCGGCCCCGTCGCCGTCCCTAGCGGCCCCGTCACCGCCTCTCTCCCTATGCGGCCCCGTCGCCGCCCCTACGTGGCCCCGTCGCTGTCAGAATAATATATAAACCTATATATTGTTTTGTAACTGCCTGTAGTGTAGACTACTGTAGTTATATAATGTTCTGTTGTGGTGGTACACCTTTCATCTTGCCTATTTGTACTGCTCGCTCTATAGTGAAACCCCTCTTTGTTGAAACTTTCTCGACTCTCCTAACCCTACTCACTCGAGCTCGATCTCTACTACTGAACTCACTATGGCTTCTATGCCTTCCTACTAAGAACGTTTCTTCACATGTTATCAGAGTGAGGTTCCTATCCTTGGACCTGGTTTTTTTTTTTTCCCATGGGCCCACCACTTCTCGTTCCTGCCATGGCGCTCGTCGCGGCCTCCCAAGCACCCGTTCAGCCGCTAGTCGTGACGTCGCGCGTGGCGGGTCTAGGTCTGTTCGTCGCGGCCCCAGTCGGCGGCCCCGTCGTCTGCCCATCGCGCCCTCCTGCAACCTCGTCACGCCCGGTCGCAGCCCCGAACGTCTGCATCGACGGTCGCTTTGGGGGGAGACGGCGGGTGTGGCGGCCGAGTTACTTCAGCCGCCGATCGCACCCCCTGCCCCGCCCTCCCGTCGACAATGCGGCTGCTACCGCTGCAGCTGCCTCGCAAGCGACGACGAGCTGTGCGCAGGCGCTCCTCGCGGCACCTGTTGCACCCACCCGTTACTCCCCCTTCCTACCCGACAGCTCACCAACCCCACCCGAGCCCGCTGCCGTTTTCTTCCACTGTGGACGACGGTGTGGAGGGGGGGGAGGGGGAGGCGCGAGGGTGGTTGACGCCCCTCTGTTCGCTACTGCACGTGCAACAGTGTGGGGGGGAGGCTTTGGGGAGGCGGGTGTGAGCAAGAAGCTGCCGCCCCTCCTCTCTCTCTCACTGCCGCACGTGCTGCTGTGGGGGGGGGAGTGAGGGGGCGACGGAAGTCAGCCGGTCATCTGCTGCTGACGCCAGCTGCTGCCGTGGCACCTCCAGCTGCCGCCCCTGCTACCACCTACCTTTTTTTTTTTTTTGTCTCTGTTTTTTGCTACCTTGTGCTGGGGCCTGCAGGTGCTGCCGTCGAGCCGCTGCTGTCCTGCTGCATGTTGCAGCCACAGAGCCTGCTCCTCAGGCGACCTGCCGCCCCACCACCTCCTACTGTTTTTACCTTGGTAAAGGGGTTGGTACAGCTGGATCTGCCATCACTGCACCTGTTGTCACTACACTTGCCTGTTGCTATGATTTCCGTTGCGGCCTGTTTGGTGTACCCCATTATGGGGGCGTTGACTGCATATTCTTCCCTACAGGCACTTATGGGGGCGTGTCAGAATAATATATAAACCTATATATTGTTTTGTAACTGCCTGTAGTGTAGACTACTGTAGTTATATAATGTTCTGTTGTGGTGGTACACCTTTCATCTTGCCTATTTGTACTGCTCGCTCTATAGTGAAACCCCTCTTTGTTGAAACTTTCTCGACTCTCCTAACCCTACTCACTCGAGCTCGATCTCTACTACTGAACTCACTATGGCTTCTATGCCTTCCTACTAAGAACGTTTCTTCACAGTCGCCACCCCTACGCGGCCTCGTTGCCGCCCCTAGCGGTCCCGTCGCCGCCCCTAGCGGCCCCGTCACCGCCCCTACGAGGCCCCATCGCCGCCCCTAGCGGCCCCGTCGCCACCTCCCTCCCTACGCAGCCCCGTCGCCGCCCCTACGCGGCCCCGTCGCCGCCCCCAAGCGGCCCCGTCGCCGCTCCCCTCCCTACGCGGCCCCGTCGCCGCCCCTAGCGGCCCCGTCGCCGCTCCCCTCCCTACGCGGCCCTGTCGCCGCCCCTATCGGCCCCATCGCCGCCTCTACCGGCCCCGTCGCCGCCTCTACCGGCCCCTTCACCGCTGAGCCGCCCAGCAGCTGAGCAGCCGAGCCGCCAAGCCGCCGAGCCGCCCAGCAGCTGAGCCGCCCAACAGCCTAGCCGCCGAGCCGCCCAGGAGCTGAGCCGCCGGGCCGCCCAGCCGCCCAGCAACCGAGCCGCCGAGCCGCCCGACAGCCGAGCCGCCCAACAGCCGAGCCGCCAAGCCGCCGAGCCGCCCAGCAGCTGAGCTGCCCAACAGCCGAGCCACCGAGCCGCCCTGCCGTCGAGCCACTACTGTTCCTACCGGCGCGCCCCGGCCCTACTTACTTGGATTGGTGAGATCACTCCCTGCTAGGCCACTGCAGTCATGGCTACCCCCAGTGTCCTTACCTTTGATGCTGAGGGTCGTGCTGTTGACTTTGAGGTCTGGGTCGATGACCTCCAGCTGTTCCTACAGTGCGATAGGGCAGACGGACTCTCCCTGTTCGATCTCACCTCTGGTGCCTCTCCTGCCCCGCCTGCTACTACTGACAGCAATGTTCGCTCACAGTGGGCCACACGCGATGCTGCTGCCCGTCTTGCTGTGCGTCGCCACTTACCGACCACTGAGCGTGCGCACTTTAGCCAGTACAAGAGTGCTAAGACCTTGTACGACGCTGTAGTTGCACGCTACTCTTCCCCTGCCACTGCTGCGCTGAACCGCCTCATGCTGCCGTACTTGTTCCCTGACCTTGCTGCCTTTCCCACAGTCTCTAACCTCATTACGCACCTTCGCACTAGTGACACTCGCTACCGCGCTGCGCTTCCTGCTGAGTTCTGTGCGAAGAACCCCCCCCCCCCATGTACATCACCCTCTACTACATAGTCACCCGGCTCCCTGACTCCCTTCGCTTAGTCAGGGACCACTTCCTCTCAGTTTGCCCCACCACACTCACCGTTGACCTCCTCGAGGAGCGCCTCCCAGCAGCAGAGAAGAGCATAGTTGCTGTAGGAGCCTCTCATGGTGACCCTCGCACCCCCGTCTTTGATGGGTGTTCCCCTTCCCCCCTCTTGCCCTCAGTTGCTTCTGCTGCTGTGGCCGACCTCGTTGCTTTCGAGTCGGTCGGCGCTGCATCTACCCCTAGCGAGAGACGCCGCACCGGCAAAGGCAAGGGGGGCAAGGGCGCTGGAGGGGCTAGCGGGGGCAGTAGAGGTGGTGGTGGAGGCAGTGGAGGGGGAGGGGGTGGTGGTGGGAGTGGTGGCGAGGGTGGAGGTGTCGGTGGCAGCAGTGGAGGCGGAGGAGGCGGCGGCGGTGGCGGAGGGAGCAGAGGCGGCGGAGGTGGCGGAGGCGGCGGAGGTGGCGGAGGCGGCGGAGGTGGAGGAGGTGGCTGCGGCAGCGGTGGAGCTGGCCGCGGCTCTGCGCAGAGGAGTGGCTCCGGTGGTGGTCCGCGCCAGCAGCAGCAGCGTAGTCGTGAGACCCTGTCCCCTCAGCAGCTTAGTGAGTGGTACACTGAGCGTCAACGCGGTGGGGGTACTGGTCCCTGCACCTACGTCCTCCGTACCGGCGACCACGCTTGTGAGCAGTGCGGGGGCCCGCACTCCACCCAGCGCTGCTTCGGCCGCCTGACGGACGCGTGGCGTCACCAGTTCCCTGACGCCACTGAGATCCCTCGCTGGGGAGAGCTGTCTAGGGCGGGGGTTGCTATCTTTGTTCTTGATTATGATGCTATTCTTGCTGCCATGTATGCTGTGTCTAATAGTGTTGAGGGTGACTGTTACCTGTGTGTTCCGCCTGACCCGGGCATTGAGGCTGCTGCTCTAGGTGCTGGTGAGGCTGCTGCTCTAGGTGCTAGTGCGTCTGCTGCCCCAGGTGCTAGTGAGTATGCTCTCTCAGGTACCACGTCGGCTCAGGCCTTACACACCTTCACCCTTGACTCGGGTGCTTCCCGCTCCTTCTTTCGAGACCGCACCACGCTTACGCCACTTAGTCGGCCGGTTGCGGTCTCCCTGGCGGACCCCTCTGGGGGTCCTGTCCTTGCTAGCTTCTCCACTGTCTTCGTCGCTCGTACGTCCATGATCCATGCGGCTACCCCCCATTTTCTGTGGACGTTCGCGGTCAGTACGCAGCGCATCAGCTTAACCTTCAGCCTCGCGTCTCCTTGTCAGAGACCTCCCCCACCTTGCGGTGGACGGGGAAGGTTGGCGATGCGTCTGCGTTTCGGGTCAGGGGATCTCGGGCGTTTGTCCGCGACTTGTCTACGGACAAGCTGTCCCCCCGTGCTGTTCCCTGCGTCTTCCTTGGCTTCCCCACTGACGCGCCTGGGTGGCAGTTTTACCACCCCACCTTGCGTCGTGTTCTGTCCTCCCAGAATGTCACCTTTGACGAGTTGGTGCCTTACTACCGTCTCTTCCCCTACCGCAGTGCGCCCCTCCCCCCGCCGCCGCTCTTTCTTGCGCCAAGTCCTCCCACGGTAGACCTCCTCCCCCCTTAGGGTCCTGCCCCGTCAGGTGTGTACCAGGTAGATGCAGTCGAGCCTGTCGAGGTAGCTATTGACTCTGGTGCTGCTAGAGGTGCTGAGCCTACGGGTGCCGGGTCTGGGGGTGCGGAGCCTGGGGGTGCTGAGTCCAGGGGTGCGGAGCTTGGGGGTGCTGAGCCTGGGGGTGCTGAGTCTGGGGGTGCTGAGCCTGGGGGTGCGGAGCCTGGGGGTGCTGGGTCTGCTCGTGTGGCCTCTCGCGGTGCTTCGTTGAGGCGGGAGCTACTCTCTCCGCAGGAGCTGCGCGAGTGGTTTGCCCGGCGCTGGAGCTGGAGGTGCTACTGTTGCTGCTGGTCCTAGAGGTGCTCGTACTGGCGGTACTGGAGCTGCTGGAACTGGGGGTGCTGCTGGGGCTGCTGAAGTTGGTCCTGCTGGAGGTACTGCTGGAGCTGCTGGCGGTACTGGAGCTGCCGGTCCTGCTGGAGTTAGTGCTGCTGGAGCTACTGGAGCTGCTGGAGTTGGAGCTGCTGGGGGTGTTGGCGCTTGTGGTTCTGCTAGCGCTGGTATGTCTGAGGGTGCTGGAGTTGGCGCTGTTGGAGCTGGAGGTGCTGCTGGCGCTGGTGCTGCCGCTGGGGGTACTGGTGCTGTCCTGTTGGTTCTGGAGGCACTGCGCGGCCACGGCCGTACTTTGTTCCGCTCCTTGAGCAGGTTCTTGGTCTCCCGCCCTGTACTGGTCCTGCTCCTCCCTAAGAGTGTCCACAGCCTGTCTTGTCGCGGTCACAGTTACAGCCAGCCTCCCCCTTACCTGCTCCTTCTCCCTACACTGGTCCTACTGGAGGTCTTGCTGAGCGTCGTGAGCCTGCGTCTCAACCTGCGTCGCCTGTTCGTGCTGCTCGCACTAGTCGTCGTGCTCCGCGTCCGCGTCCTCCTGCAGTCCCAGGCACAGACCAGATGGCACTGCATCCTTCCACTGCTCCTCTACGTGTCCCGTTGCCGTCTCCTCCAGAGTCCTCTCTTCCTGTTCTTGCTGACCTGGAGTCTGACTCTCTTCGTGCTGCCAGTCCTACTGTCACGCGTCTCCTAGCTACTGTTGTCACTGACCCTTCCTTTGAGTCCACTGCTGCGTCGGCCCTAGTTGCTGAGCTTGTCGACTTTGCTGCTCGCTGTCGTCTAAACTACGCTACTAGTCTCGTTGCTGAGTCTGACTCTCTCTGTCCTCCGTCCGTCGGGGGTGAGTGTGCTCTTAGCACGGACGTCCTTGAGGACAGGCAGGAGGAGTTCCAGTGTTTTGCTGCTGCTTTGCCTCATCTCGTGTCCACGCTGATTGCCCCTGAGGGAGACCCGGATGCACCAAACATCCCGACTCCTCGATCGTACGCTGAGGCGATCGAGGGTCCCTACTCCTCACAGTGGCAGTCAGCCATGGACGCAGAGATGGCTTCCTGGAAGTCCACAGGCACCTACGTCGACGAGGTTCCCCCACCTGGGGCGAACATCGTCAGTGGCATGTGGATTTTCAGGGTGAAGTGGCCGCCGGGTTCTCCGCCTGTCTTCAAGGCGCGTTACGTGGCTCGAGGCTTCAGTCAGCGGCAGGGAGTTGACTACTTTCAGACCTTCTCTCCCACCTCGAAGATGACCACTCTTCAGGTGCTGCTGCACATACCCGCTCAGCGCGACTACGAGCTCCACTCTCTTGACTTCAGCACAGCTTTCCTGCAGGGCAGCCTGCACGAGGAGATCTGGCTGCGCCGCCCACCTGGCTTCACTGGGTCGTTTCCCCCTGGTACCCAGTGGAGCCTCCGGCGGCCAGTCTACGGTCTCCGCCAGGCGCCCTGTGAGTGGCACGACACGATGAGGACTACACTTGCGGCTCTTGGGTTTGCTCCTTCTACTGCCGACCCGTCGCTGTTTCTGCCTACCGACACCTCTTTGCCGCCGTTCTACATCCTCATGTACGTCGACGACTTGGTCTTTGCTACTGCTGACACTGCTGGACTCGCCCACGTGAAGTTCGAGCTGCAGAAGAGACACACGTGCACAGACCTGGGTGAACTGCGCAGCTACCTTGGCTTGTAGATCACCCGGGACAGAGCACAGCGCACCATTGCCCTGACTCAGTCACACATGGTGCAGCAGGTCCTTCAGCGCTTCGACTTCACGTACTCCTCGCCTCAGGCCACTCCTCTGTCTACTCGCCACTCGCTCTCAGCTCTGCCTTCGGATGAGTCCGTCGAGCCGAGCGGCCCCTACCCAGAGCTTGTTGGCTGCCTCATGTACCTGATGACCTGCACACGACCTGACCTTGCATACCCTCTTAGCATCTTGGCACGCTATGTTGCTCCTGGGAGACACCGACCAGAGCACATGGCTGCAGCGAAGAGGGTGTTGCGCTACTTGTGCAGTACGTCGGGCATGGGGCTAGTGCTTGGAGGGCGACGTCGAGTGGTCCTCACAGGTCACGCAGACGCTTCTTGGGCTGACGACCAGGCTACGCAGCAGTCGTCACAGGGTTACACCTTCAGCCTTGGTTCCGGCTCTGTTTCGTGGCGGTCTACCCGCTCGTCTTCTGTTCTCGGATCCAGTTGTGAGGCTGAGATCTACGCGGGGGCCATGGCTGCACAGGAGCTATGCTGGCTCACCTACCTGCTGACTGACCTAGGAGAGCCGCCTCGTTCTCCTCCAGTTCTGTACGTAGACAACAAGGCCATGCTGGCCTTGTGTCGGGAGCACAGACTGGAGCACAGAACGAAGCACATTGCTCTTCGCTACTTCCTTGCTCGTGAGTTGCAGCAGCGTGGTCAGCTGCGCCTTGCTTACGTGGCCTCTGAGGCCAATACTGCTGATATCTTTACCAAGGCACTTCCGCCTAGTGATCATCAGCGCTTCTGTACGATGCTAGGTCTTGTGCCTACTTGGCCTCACTTGCTCACTTCTTGACCTTGCTTGTATTGTGATCTTTCTATACCTGCACTTGCCTGTTTACCTTTATATATGATCTTGCATGTGATCTGGCCTTTTGGCCTTGCTCTTGTGCTCGGATTGTGTGGGGACGTTGTGATCCACCCTGAGCTTGCTTTGCTTTGCTTAACTGGTCTTGTGACCTCTTGTTCTCCCCCACTTTTCCTATGGGGGTGTGTCAAACTTATATGCTATAGTGTGTGTAGGCTGTAGTAGGGTAGACTATATGGGGTACAACACTTGAAGGTTTTCCTACTTGTACCCACCTCTTTCCTAGTTCATTCATTCCTCATTTCTTCACACAGTTCGGCAGTGTAACATAGTACACGCAGCAGATGGAGAGCCTCTTCATCCGAATTACCGACCTGACCTAAGGGGAAAAAATCCAAGCGTATACTGAGGGGCTAAAGATGGAAGTCCGCCGACAGGTGATTGCCGCGAACTACAACTACCGCGTTATGGTGTGTGCAGCAGAGAGATTCGATTCGCTAATGCGATGTGAGCCCGAGACACGACGCCACGTGCTGAACAGATCATTCGACACAAAGCGATCGGCACCACCCACGACCACCGACCCGATGGATATGGACAAGATCGACGCGAAGCAGCTGCCGACAAAATATGAGAAGTGCGAATGTTTCGGCGCAGCAGGACATCGACTCTTGGCGTGTTGGAAGTTGAAGAAGGTACTAGCGGAGCTACAGGGCAACAACATTTTGACATCCACGATGGCAAAAAAAGGAGGACACGATGGCACGAATTTAAAACGCCACGACCGGCCAGCAACAGGGGAAATCGCCGAGACAAATGGAGGCTCCGCGAAACAAGACTCTGCACCGACGGGGAAACTCTAGCCGAACACCCCCGAGAGTAAGAATATTCCCTCTCGAGGTTTTCAAGCCTTTAAAAAATCCAAGGGAGATTTCAAGGCCAAGAAAAAGCCTTCAGACATTATTCACGTACCTGAGAAGTTGGGCAAACCACTCCGGAGCGTTGAAAAGGGTCGTGCGTTCCAAGGAGTTCATATTCTCTCCCCGCAGCATAGTCTTAAGGCTCCCTATTGCCCACAGGAGAAGCCTACATAGATGCAAAGGCTTAAGGGAAGGTTCCAGGCCAAGACGAAGCTGAATCGGCCTCGGATAAACCCTTCTAACCCTGCTCAGTTGGAAACTGATACGGAGTCAGCAACTTCGAGCGCAAGACCGAGGGATGATCTATTTGACGTACCCTACGATCCTATAAGCGAGACCATCTACGGTTACTCGGAGCAGCAAAAACCACTACTACTCGAGGTGATCTGCAATAGGCGACGCCTCCAGGCAATGGTGGACAGTGGTGCGTCCCACTCGGTGTGCGACCGCGGGACGTTGGAGAAAATTGGAGAATTTTCGGAGGAGACCAAGTTCTCGGCAACAATGGTGGACGGTACGAAACTTCCCATCCACGGCGAAGCATCACTGCAGCTGCACATAGGGGCGCTGAGGTGGAAGCCGACGTTGCCGATCACGAACATCAAGGGCTTATATTTCATCTTGGGGCGAGATTTCTTGAAGCGGTTCAACCCCGAGATCGACTGGGTCAACAGGAAGGCGTGCATCTACAACAACGGGAAACGAGTGGAGCTGCGAAGCTGGACGGATACAGGGAGCGTTCCTGAAACGACACTGGCACGGTTCGAACGGACTGTTAACGAGAGTAACACGGGATACTTAGCACTGGTTATGGCAGCAGCAGAGGAGGAGAAGCCGAGTTTGGAGCTACCTGTAGCAGTAAAGGAGGTGTTGGAGCAGTACAAGGATATAATGCCTGACGACTTACCCGCAGGCGTACCTCCAGCACGCACCCACGAGCACGAGATCGTGGAGGAACCAGGTACGAAACCCGTCTCACGTGCACCATACCGACTGAGTCCGACCGAGCTGACAGACATGAAGAAACAGATAGAGTATCTACTGGACAGACAACTGATCCGCCCATCCACCTCTCCCTATGGTGCACCAGTCCTCTTTACTCCAAAACCAGACAGCAGTTTACGGATGTGCATCGACTACCGCGCACTGAACAAGCAGACAGTCAAAAACAAATATCCCA